TACTCAGAGTTATACAGCAAGCAGTGTTTTTGGCACATAGGGCAATTATGGACTATGCAAAGTTGTAATTCTGTCAACTATTATGTCTTTTAAGTTAGCACTCAAACGGCAGAATACAATTATAAGTTTTCTTTTTTGTTGTTTTTTCCCCTCATAGCCAGTCAATAGTGTTGCAGTGATGACATATCTTTGTAAGCAAGGGGTTCCCTGACAAGAATCAATGGGACTTTTCCATTGGATTTTGAAATATTACAGAAAATCTGTGGCAAACATGTGTTTATGATACATCGCATTTTTTCAGGAAGGTTCATTTCCACATATTAATACCGCCTCTATCACAGTTGAAGTGTAAACTCAATTGCCAGGAGTAAAAAGGTAACATTAGGCTATAATCAAACTACATCACTGTCGCATGACTTCACGTCACAAATCGCTAAGCTAAAGGAAGCTAATTTGAGACGAGGGAGCCCGGAAGTGCTAAAATGCTAGCTCCTTTCCAGGTGTAGGGCTCATTCCTGAATCACTTCATTCAGAATTGGTCAGGTTTATTTTGGCATCAGACCCTTTGAAAAAAAGGGAAATAAGGCAACCTTCTTGAACTCCTTGTCCTCCTTCTAATCAGAAACAAGGTTGGATAGTGAGCGAATGCTTGGTACCTTCCCTTTGATATGCAGTCAGGTAACTTGAGATAGACGCAATCATGTGGGCTTATATTGGACCTAATAAGTCTTCAGTTAAACTTGCCTTCGTGGTACATAGCCTTAAATGTGATGTTATCCAGCACTGTGCTTTTTTTAGTGTTGGACTCAACTTCTCATTCCTGGTCACGCTGAGCGGAGTTTACCTCAGGACAGATTCTGGCCTCTGCCTGGGGGGGCGGTGGCCTCGTGTCGATCGAGAGGCTTAAGACCGTTGCATCAATACGGACATTAGAATAAAAAAGGGATTAGCACAGGCTAGACTGGGTCTCAATGGACAACGAAATGAAAAGCCATCTAAGCTAAGAAGGCATTAGATCTGAAGTCAACGGAATCACTTCCACTCGCTCTGGCCTGAGAGCGTGGGGACACTTTGAGACGGGGAGTCATTGACGGGCCACTTGCAGGCTGATCCGGCAAAAATAAATTCTTAATTGAAAGACAAATTGAAAACACTTGTATCAGGTATCGTACAGGAGGGGAGGGTAAATATCCATTCAAGAGCACTTCATTAATTTGGCTTCCTCTCTAAATAAATACTCAAATGTGTGTGTGTTTGTAACAAATCAACATAAATAGCTTAAACACTAGCCAGTCATATAATCAACACCCACACACACATACAACTGACAGGGAGCCTGAAGAGACGAACAACATCATTTATATAGGATAATAAGGAGATGGGTTTTTTTCTCTCCCACTGTGCATTTGCCGCCACGTGCCATTTTGCACATCATCTTCAAAGTCTAACCCCCTCCCCCCACTTCAGCTCTGTAGCCTTTTTCTTGACGTGAAGAAGCAAGGGAGAGGGAGAAAAGAAGAAGAAGCTGATTCTTCATGGCGCCTCAGAAGTAGGGCAAGGATAGTCCCTTCAGGGCGGGGGGGGGGGGGGATGGTGATGTCATTTTTGACGGTTCTGAGCGCCCTGCAGAGGAAAGGCTAAAGACTCGAGGTTCAAAATGTGATGACGAGACGCCAAGTTCCAACAGATATCTGCACCAAGAATCATTCCACATCAAAGAGAACTCTCTTTGTCGACTGCAGCTTAGAACCCAAACCTCACTTCAAATCCTTCTGATTAAATAGGATTGATCCCTGCTGCGCTTTAATGTCAAAAGCCTCTGGAAGGTAGGTGTGATCAAAAAGAGTGAAACCACAGAAAATACTAAAAAGGAAAAAAAGGAGTTCTTGAGTTCTCCTTATCTCCGAGTCTTATCAAGTCAGTCCCATTTTAGACAGTCCATATTAATCCCCTCAGTAATATCCTACAGGAAGAGGAATAGGATGAACCATGTACGTCCCAAACACCTGTGGAGATGGCCAGGGCACATTGTATTGTCCATATGCTGGTGCAAGAGCATTAACATAAAGTGGGTTTATGTGAGGCCCTCCCAAACGATGAACTGGATGACCCAATGTCTCATAAGTCAGTGTTTCTCTGGGTCGTTTCTCTCTCTGTGACCTGCGTGGTTGTGTGTCAAAAGGGTCATTTTCTTGAACATTTGGCCGGTCTGCCGGCTGAACAGTTTGTGTTAGCTCTTGAGTGTCACTAGTGTTATTGTCCATAAACATCTGCACAGGATTCTCCATTCTGAACTCTTCTGCGTCAACGTCGAGTTGAGGCTGATGAGGGAAAAGGCTGGAGGTGAAGCATCCTGCTCTTCAGACTGATGATGTCGATGTCTCAACCTATGAGCCCAATAATACTCATCCTCATCTGAGCTTGCTGACTCCTCTGTTTCACCTGGTTCAACATCCTGCTGTGCTTTCCTTTGCTTTTTATGTGATTGTCTTTGTACCGTGCTTTGTGCTGGTTCCTCAAGTGGCAAAGCATTACATGACATCAACATGTTGCGATGGAGGATCCTATTTCTTCCTGTTCCACGTTCTGGCTTTACCTCATAGACCGGGCTGCTTTCTCCTTTCCGAGAGACTACAATGTGTATCTTATCTTCCCAGTATGAGCGTAACTTTCCGGGTCCACCACGCTCAGACATATTTCTCACAAGGACCCTGTCGCCTGGTGAAAGCACTGCACTTTGCCTTTTTTTTTTTTAAATCATAGATTTTTTTCCCTCTTGCTGTAGTCTTTTGAATATTTTTGGATGCAATGTCATAAGCCTCTTTCATTTGTTGCTGCCATTTTTGAGCATACTCATGATGTGAATTACATCCTTCCCCATCATTTATCTCAAAGATGAAATCAATTGGCAGACGGGGCTTTCTCCCAAAAAGCAGATAGAATGGGGAGTAACCAGTTCCTTCACTGGTTGTACAGTTGTAAGCATGTACCACTTTAGTTACATAGTCACTCCAGTTTCCCTTTTCCTCTTCATCCAAAGTCCGCAGCATTGAAAGCAAAGTTCGGTTAAATCTTTCTGCCGGGTTCCCCTGTGGGTGGTAGGGAGTTGTTTTAGAATTTTCGATTCCTGAGTACTTCTGCAGTTGTCTGAAAAGCTGGTTCTCAAATTCTCTACCCTGATCATGATGTATTTTAGCAGGAAAACCACATTTCAATGCAAAATCATTAAAGATTTTCTCAGCTGCAGTTTTACCTGATTTGTTTCGGGTTGGATAAGCCTGGGCAAATTTAGTGAAGTTATCAATTATCACTAAAATATATTCATACCCTCCCCTGCTTTTTTCAAGGTGAAGATAATTTTTTTTTGGATGTTGCATTTGCACACCTGAGTGATAAAAAACTCAATGTCTTTCTGCATCCCAGGCCAATAAAACCCGTCTCGTGCGAGGTGTAAAACTCGTTCCACCCCCAAATGACCCATTTCACAGTGAAGGTACCTGTACACCAGTCCTCTGTACTGCTCTGGAAGCAGAGTACATGTTGAGTACATGTTGCAGTTTTGCATTTCAACACACCCTCTTCTGAAACAAATAGTCTTTCTTTCTTTTTTTTTGGTATATACCGCATGGGGTATGGGGTGCCTATCTTTATTTCGTTTTCCGGGGCCACCATGCCCGCGTGCTGCTCCTGAGACGAGAAAGGCTGCGTGTGACCTCCCTGTTGAGCTCCTCTCGTGGGTTGCATGGGCTGATCCACCTGCTCCTCTCTCTTGTCGGCTGCATGCGGCGCTGCTCCATCGACGACGGTCTCCGGCTGGCTCTCTTGAAGAATGTCCAGTAGATCATTTAGTTCCAAAAGCACGGACATTCCTTCATCCTCCATCTCCAACAGTTCATTACTTTTACAAAACTTTATATGCTTAACCAGGGCACGTCTGCCTCTATTTTGAATGTCCACATATCCTTTTCCAGTGAGGTTGCTACGCTCACAACACTGCTGTAATTCCTTTACAGTCAGTCCTAACAGTTTTTTTTCTATCTCATTTAGAAAATCTTCTCTGTGATCTGACATCTTGTTTCTGACTGGACCTTTTCACGGGAAAAATAAACAAACGAGGCAGAGCCGTACTAGCTACACTACACTTGAACTGTTAGCCTAGCCTAGCTACGAACCACGTTACCCATCGCTCTCCAGTATCCATCTTTACCGTCCTTTCCCGGGAACCTTTCGCCGTGAAGTTAATAATCTCGGTAGGACCTCCAAATTGTTACATCACTCAGACCGCAAGGGCATTATAGGTGTAGAAAACGTTCATTTATTAACTTCCACAAGGCACATGTGCAAGACGTCAGCATCTCAAACGATCTCAAAAGCACAACACACAGACACACTTATTCTGTTCATGTCCAGAATAAAACAATCATCAGAACCATAAGGTGACCTGCCCCCTTGTGGTATAAACATGTATGTGCAGGTAGACAACCTCAACCTTATGGGTGCTACACATGTTATATAGTTACTCAGATGGAACGGAACCCAAGGAAAAGCATTCGATTCCAGATCAAGTCAAACCAACATCCAGCCAATTCCAAGCTATGCTCATACGCTCAGTTGGTCAGGGCAACCCAATGCGGGAAGGCGGTCAACTCAACATAGTTGAAAGATGGTGCTTCAGTTAGAAAAACTCTTCTATATGCCATTGTTTTTTTAAGATGAATTCAAAATAAGATGGAACAGATTGTCTAATAAAACTTATAATTGTATAGTTTTTTGTATATGTTGTTTTGCTTTTGTTGAATTAAATTACACTGGGAAAAACACTTAAAAGATGGATTGATGGATTGAAATGAGAATGATAGTTCAAACTGTAATATTAAGACTATGTGACCTTATGGAATGCAGGTGATGTTGGGAAAGGTAGGTAAAACCAGCAGAATTAATGACTTTCTTTGAGGTTCCATTCCTTCTTAATTGGAGAACTGACGGCTAAACAAACTCACCAGACGCGCAGTCCTCCTCGTCCGCCCCGTTCTCGCAATCCTTCTCCCCATCACATCTCCATGACAACGAGACGCACTTGTTGGTTCCCCCACAGTCAAATTTCTCTGGAGGGCATGTCTGTTTGCCTGTGGGCGAGATGAAAGAGATAAAGAGATTACAGCAGGGGTTTTATGATCGCTTAAAAGACAGTAAAGCCGGAGAAAAACACTGGACTTGATTTTTATCGCCCCCACGATGCAGTTAAAACTCATCCAAACTCCACCACACTGGCCAATTGATTTCACTGTCTGGGCCGCCTCTAAAGAGGAATGTCGGGAGATCATGAAATACAGCAAATGCACAGTTGGCTGTAAAGCAAACGAACAGCCCCCTCCTTCTCCTGCCAATCTGCTCTAGTTGGCACAGGGTGGGTTTGATCCAGATTACAGTGTGTTTCATAGGAAGCTTGTTGTTAATTATACATATTTGCTTACAGTGCAGCCTTAAGCCTGCCAGTATGGAATCAAGGGGCAGCCTGCACGGCAAATCATTTTACTTTCTGATGGATTTGTTTACAGTATATTTAATTACAGTGGTTCCCAATGTTTTTTTTGACAGCCTTGTCAGAAGTGTTCAAGTAACCCTCTTATTAGCATGTTTTACCTTCTTCTAAGGATTTTAATCCGGATGCTATTTACCACTATTAATGAAAGTCTATATTGTTATGTTTTTTTTGTTGTATACATTGTTACGGTCGCCGCCTTCTATCTGCCCATTAACCTTTCTGTAAGTGTTTGCAGCTGGGTGTTATATATGTATATGAGCTGTGCCGTTGCCCAGACACCATTGGATGCCGGCTTCCTGTCCCTCCCCCGGTAGGCATGACCGAAGATCTGGATTGGAGCATGCCGGGCCCGACTCTCCAACACACCTTCCGGGGAAAACTACAATAATGTGTGCACCTCAATTAGCCGAGAGAGGTCTGAATCTGTGGCAGACGTCTCTCGGTACTCTCCCCGTACATCCTGTGATAATTCTGTTAACAGTGGTTAACTAGTTGTGGTATATTTGTGTTTATACTTGTTACTCTGTTTATCTAAAGTACAACGTTAACTGTGGTTAACTTGTACTCAGGCTGTGTTTTATAACAGCCTACTTTTGTTAGCCCTATTCCTTTTTCAATTTTAGAAGTGAGGTTTTCTTTTGTAGTTGTGTTTGTGTATTAACTTGTGAAAGCTCTTATTTAAAGAGTCTACCTTAGTTCCTTTTGTTTGTTATTTAAACCGGTCCCTTTGTGGCCTTTTGTTTTGATTATGGTTGCTTGTTGCCAATTTCATTGAGCTCATTCATTCAACAACTTCCAAATTTACCAATTTCAACTGGTTATATGTTACTTTCTACTTTCCACGAGCCGGGACGTAACAACAGTTACACTGTCAATATTTAAGTCGGTCTATCCATTACCCTTTAGCTATTTTACCATTTATCCATTACAACTTTCCATTCATTTTAGACAATTATTTTGAACATTCATTATTCATTATTCTCTACTACATAACTGTTCTTACTATTTAATTATTTATTTTCGGCAAACATACATTATTTAACCATGTATCCATTACTCAAGATATATTACCATTTATCTTTTGGCCAAATATTTCAACCATTTAACCATTACTTTAACGAACTGTTTCTACAATGCATGCATTACTTTTAGTTATCCCACCATTTATCCATTAATTTAAGACAATGTGTCCATTACTACAAAGTAGTCTACCAATTTTCCACTACTTTTAGGAAACTATTTTGACCATTTATCCATTACATTTAACAAACCTACAATATTTAACCATTTATCCAGTACCTTTGTATCCAGTAGTACAGGAACATTTATCCAGTACTATCCAGATGTATCACCATTTATTCATCACCTTTGGCTAAATATTCAAATAGTTTATTCATTACTTTTTTACTCACTTTTTCTATCATTTAGACTTTACTTTTAGACAATTTATCCATTACTATTAATTATTAAACCAATATTCCACTAGTTTTAGAGAAATATTTTGACTATTTATTCATAACTTTTAACAAACATACAGCATTTAACTGTAAAATATTACTTTTACTATATTACTAGAACAAACATTATCATAAGTATATCTAATAGTTTGAACTGCGTGCATTTTAGCTTAAGCATTAGCTTCTTTCCCTTTGCTTACTAGCATTCACACATGTAATGTTCATACAGCTCACCCTATGTGGATATTTTTTTTCATCAAATTGTTACATCTATTTTTTTAAATCAGTTGAGCTACTTTAAAATCTTTCCACGTACCCACTTGCAACTGCCACCCTTTGCAGCTGCTTATTAAGGCTAGCTTTCGAAACCTTTCATATGGTCATGTTTTTTTTCTGAGCTTACTGAAACAATGTAATGAGCGGATCATTAGTAGCGAAATGACTGAGAGCACGCTCCATAATGAATATCATGTATGAGGTTAGAAGAATCTCTAATGCTGTCACTATCAACGTTCAGCGTACACTGCATTGTGGGTAATTGGACCAGACAAGGAGAAGGTCTGCCAAAGCATGTTTCTAAACAAAGCACATCTGTTCATATGGAAATGCCTTCATTAGAACACTGCACTTAGGCTCAAATTGAATTTCTTTTTATGTAATGTAAATGTAATATGCAGTGCGTTTTAATTATTAAAGGGGACCTATCATGCAAAATGCACTTTTGTACGTCTTTTATACATGAATATGTGTCCCCGGTGTTCCAGGGAACTCACCAAGTGTCAGAAAACACAACCCTCTCTATTTTCCTCCATACCCAAATCTCTAAAAAAGGGGCTGCAACGGATCTGATAAAAACTGATCCAGATTTGAACACTGTCCTGACGTCAGGACGGTGGCGCTACGGCTATTGGGCCAACTCCACCAATCAGGAGGAGACAGCCACGGCCATTGCCGTTCGAAAGCGCTGGAGACGCTGTAGTACATATGCCAGGCCTGTAGGTGGTGCTGTTCTCACAGAATCAGCCCTTGCAAAAACAGGGCTAAAAAAGTGCAAATTGAGCGAAATGAGGCATGGCTAAAATGCATGATCTGTTTGGTATTTAAAAAAAAAAAAAAAGTATAAATATGCCTTATACAGTATAGGTATGGTCCTACACTATATTATTAAAATATAGCATGATAGGTCCACTTTAAATTAACAACTGTATATCTTCCATGACTATTACAGAGTTCAAATTGCATGGTGCATTTAAGCTTTCGTTTTTGATGCTTTTTATACTGGGTCTAAATGGCTTTGAAGTCGGTTTGCATGTTCTTTTAAATCAATTGAAGCATAATTATATGTTCTCTGATAGCATCAGTGCAGGAAACAGAGACAATTATGCCCTGTGATGTCTTTTCAGTCACTTCTTTTTAGACAGCTGTGAAGAGCGTCGAGTGAGCAAACAAGCCTAATGATGGCTGAAGGAACTAAAGAGGGGAAGGGGATGATTAGTTCAAATGGATGATTACAGCCGAGTAGGCCTGTCGCGATAATCAATAAATTGACTTATCGTACGATAAATAAAAATGGACTCGATAACTTTTCTGAGCTCGATAAATTGCCGTTTGCATGCGTGTTTGTTTACATAAAGATGTGACCAGCATTTTAGCCAGGCGCGCTGTGTCTGCCGGCCCGGCGCGATGTGAGGGGCGGGGCTCACACACAGCCCATGACACAGCCAGGTCAGGACGGTCAGGTCAGGACGGTCAGGTCAGGACGGTCAGGTCAGGACGGTCAGGACACTCCGCGTGCAGCAGTGTGGCAGCCAAATTAGTAATATAGAGACAAGCAGGAGACAATGTGTGACTTACTCGAGGGGAATTTGAAGTTAAATGGAAGTGGTTGCAAAACCTAATACCACATCTCCGGTGTGGGAATATTTTGGATTAAAGCCAAATCAACGAGGCGAACCTACGGACTTGAATGAGCCGGGCGGTGTGTCGCATTTGTTTTAAAAAGGTAGCAACAAAAGCCAGCAATACGACCAACCTTAAACTGCACCTGAAACATAACCACCCCATTCCGTTTTCCCAGCTGGTAGCAAACACGGCAGCTGGAGATGGAGAGTCCCCACCTTCCCGACAGTTTACAATCAAAGATGCATTTGCCCGACAATGCAAACATGTTGGCGTTCCTTGCTCGAAAACTTTGAAATACAGATTTGGATATGGCCTGTTGAGGCATCTGGGTCTTTGTATGGACAGTGTGTTACGGTTTTGTATTTATGTTTTCAGTTTCCACCTTTGTTTTGAAATGTTTTCCTCCTTGTGTCTTCTCTGTTCCTTCTTCCTGTGTTTGCCTTCCTGTCGTTAGTTTCCCTGGTGTGTCTGATTGTGTTCACCTGTTGCCCTTGTGTTTCTGCCTCCCTTACCCCAGCTGTGTCTTGTCTTGTGATTACCCCTCTCTGTATTTAGTCTTGTCTTCCCCTGTGTGCCTTGTCGGTTCATTGTTGGTTTTTCCTGTCTCCCTCCATGTCAGTCACGGTCAGTTTTGTTTGTATTCACTACCTTGTGCTATCTATGTTTTTTCATGCCTTGTTTTTGTGCTCATCGGCTTTGGAATAAAGCTCGCCTTTTGTTTATAGACCTTTTTCCTTTTTGACGTCTGCATTTGGGTCCTACCCTTTCCACATTACCTAACAGAATGAACCGACCAGAATTGGACTCAGCAGATTCTGATTTTTTGTTGCTACAGGCGGAACGTCTTGGGTACTCTCTAGAGCAGGGGTTCCCAACCCCCGGTCCGCGGACCGGTACCGGGCCGCGGAGGTGTTACTGCCGGGCCGTGAAATAGCTGTGAGTTTATCGTAATATTTGCAGAATTATAAATATATAAAAATATTTTATCATAATATTTTTTTCAAAAAGTGTTTAATTTTCGCACCTATGCCACCAGTCATATTATTTCATCCAGTAGCTAGTTAATCTTTCACTAGAAAACCGTTGAAAATGGCTTTTATGATGTTCCGAGGGATTCGGCGGCTCAGCCTAAGGTCTCAGCCTCTTGTGCGCACGAGCATGTTACCGGTGCGCCAAGTAGGAAGAGGAGCGCACAGGAGAGAACCGTTTGATTGCAGACTGT